CTACCCCTAATGCTATTCCTGCCCCTGTCCTTGTCCCAGCCCCTAGCCCCGCCCCGTACCAGTCTCTGTCCCTCTCCCCATCCCCTGCCCTAGGGTAACCGAGTCCAATTTAAAGCAAATTTCACCGTCGGGTTACCTCGATGATTCCTTTAGTTTCCTCCTCTCTCTTTTCCCTTCCTTATCATCTTGCTCTCTCTCTTCTGTGTGTGTGTGTGTGTGTGTGTGTGTGTGTGTGTGTGTGTGTGTGTGTGTGTGTGTGTGTGTGTGTGTGTGTGTGTGTGTGTGTGGTCCTTGTTCTCTCTCTCTCTCTCCTCCTCCTCTCTCTCTTCTCTCTCTCTCCTCTCTCTCTCTCTCTCTCTCTCTCTCTCTCTCTCTCTCTCTCTCTCTCTCAGAGCATCTCGTTTCGTCTCGAAACCGTCCTTCTCTTCTCTTTTTCTTCTATTTATGTTATCTTCCCTTCCATTCCCATCCTTTCCTCCTTTCCCCTCATTCTCGTCCCTTCCAACCCCTACCCTTCCCTTTTTTTTTTCTTTCCTTTCCTTCCTTCCTTCCTTCCTTTCCTTTCCTTTTCTTTCCTTTCTTTCCTTTCCTTTCCTTTCCTTTCCTTTCCTTTCCTTTCCTTTCCTTTCCTTTCCTTCCTTTCCTTCCTTCCTTCCCTTCCCTTCCCTTCCCTTCCCTTCCCTTCCTTCCCTTCCCTTCCTTCCTTCCTTCCCTTCCCTTCCCCCTTCTTCCTTCCCTTCTGGCTCTGGTCTTACTAGGAGGCGATCACCGTAACCTTCCTGTTGTCTCTGAGGGATTTATCTTGGAAGTGATGGGATGAACAATGATCCACAGAGAGAGAGAGGGGAGAGGGAGAGGGAGAGGGAGAGGAGAGGGAGGAGGGAGGGAGAGGGAGAGGGAGAGGGGAGAAGGAGAAGAAGGAGGAGAAGGAGGAGAAGGAGGAGTGGAGAAGGAGGAGGGAGGAGAAGGAGGAGGGAGAAGGAGAAGGAGAAGGAGAAGGAGAGGAGAAGGGGAGAGGGAGAGGGAGAGGGAGAGGGAGAGGGAGAAGGGAGAGGGAGAGGGGAAGAGGGAGAGACAGAGAGAGAGACAGAGAGAGAGACAGAGAGAGAGAGAGAGAGAGAGAGAGAGAGTAGTATGAAAGCGAGCGTTTTGGAGGCAAGAGAGCTTGGCAGGCAACTAGACAAGCTTGCAAGCAAACGAGCAGGGAGACAGGCAGGTAAGAAAATGGCCATGCAGGCAAGCAGGCAAGCAGGCAGGCAGAAAGGCCGGTTAAAGGAACAGCTTGAGCAACGCCGCAAGCACAGGCGGGCAAGACGAAGTAATAGCGGGTAATGAGATAGCTAATGATTATACGTGTTGGAGTGGAGGGATGGAGAGGGAATGCTGATATAAATGAACTAATTGGGGATTATGTGATTAAGGAAACGTGTGTGAAGAGAAGGTTCGGCGTGATGGAGAGAGTGAGAGTGAAAGTGTGTGTGTATGTGTGTGTGTGTGTGTGTGTGTGTGTGTGTGTGTGTGTGTGTGTGTGTGTGTGTGTGTGTGTGTGTGTGTGTGTGTGTGTGTGATAGGAAGAGGGGAAGGGAGGGATAGAGAGAGAAAGAGTGAATGAAATAAGAAATGAAAGATATCTTGAAAGGAAATGTTGGAAAAAGAGGGAAATTAGAAAAAAGTAGAGATAGAAAGAAAAAAAGAGGAAAACAATTCAATAAACTCAGACGCAGGGAACGAAAATAATAAGCTGATAAAAGGCAAAAATAGCTTCGTCCAACGCAAGCAAAAGAGGAGCGGGGAGAAGCGTGCGTAGCAGATGGTACCTGGCGCGCGTGGGCCCGGCGCGGCGTCGCGAGCGGGCGCAGAATAAAGCGGGCATCACTGCTCATGACAGCTTAATGTAGCCGTCAATCGTAATGCGATGGGACATAATTTCTCCATTACTGCGCCTAACCAGAAGGTTGATTTCCCCGTGTTTGCACCTCCCCGCCTAATGCTTTTGCGACACTCCGGCGTAATAAAGGCTGTTGTAGTAATTTGCCGTTTTTATACCTGCGTCTAATTTGGCTCTCCCGGCGGTATTTACCGTTGGATTTTTAGCTTAATTGTATCCATTCGGTTTTACGTCACCTCCAGCCCACCATATCCTCTTCCCACCTCCCCCCTTCCCTTGAAAACGCTCTAAATACCCGTTTATTATTATTTAAGACTATAGCCGTTCCACCCGCCCCTCCCCCTCCATCTCCACTCCCCTGAGCCCAGCGCAGCCCAGATCGGCGGTCGTAATACAGGTGTAACATCACGCATTAAAGTGACAGCCACGCGTTCCCGCAGGTAATATATGTAACTGTCGCTTCATCGGTACGACAGCGCGTAGTTAGGCCGGTTAATACTAATATGGTAAGTGGCGGGAGGGGGCTCGCTTGTACGTTCGTTGCCGCGACGGCCTTGTATTGACTTTTGCAAGGATGCTCTTTGCACGAGGCCGAGGAGGGAGGGGTGGGGTGGTGGGGGGGGCAAGTAACGCAGTTGTTGGGTAGTTCGGATTGGCGTTTTCTCTGATGGTTTTGGATACTTGCTTTCTCTTTCTCTCTCTCTCTCTCTC